GTGTATTCTCTCACCATACCTATTCAATATATACGCAAAAAATATAATGAGAAATATCAAAAATGACCAGACGTGGGACAGTTATGATCCGCTCAAAATTGGTGGCAACCCTATTCCGGATCTTCGCTACGCAGATGACACAGTCCTCCTTTCGAACAGCGTAAAGGGAATAGAAAATTTAATATTGTCTGTCCCAAAAAAAAAAAAAAAAAAAAAAGCACAGTAATGATCAAAATCTGTTCTTGAATTTAAAGAAAATGAAAATAATGTCCACATATAAAACTGGCTGCCACCCACCCAAAAATAACAATAAATACTGAAGAAATTGCAAATGTCACAAACTTTGAATATCTAGGCTCTATAGTAAAAAGCAATGGAGACTGTCTGACAGAAATTAAAAGGAGGATGGCCATAGCAATGCAAAGATTAAACAGCCTTAAATGTCATTGATTAAGCACCGGCAAGGAGATCAAAATAAAAATTTTGAGAGCATGCATCTTTCCTGTAGCAACATACGGATGTGAGTTGTGGACTATCTCCCATCTTTCCTGTAGCAACATACAGATGTGAATCGTGGACTATCTCCCATCTTTCCTGTAGCAACATACGGATGTGAGTCGTGGACTATCTCCCATCTTTCCTGTAGCAACATACAGATGTGAATCGTGGACTATCTCCCATCTTTCCTGTAGCAACATACAGATGTGAGTCGTGGACTATCTCCCATCTTTCCTGTAGCAACATACAGATGTGAATCGTGGACTATCTCCCATCTTTCCTGTAGCAACATACAGATGTGAATCGTGGACTATCTCCCATCTTTCCTGTAGCAACATACGGATGTGAATCGTGGACTATCTCCTATCTTTCCTGTAGCAACATACGGATGTGAATCGTGGACTATCTCCCATCTTTCCTGTAGCAACATACGGATGTGAGTCGTGGACTATCTCTCATCTTTCCTGTAGCAACATACGGATGTGAGTCGTGGACTATCTCTCATCTTTCCTGTAGCAACATACGGATGTGAATCGTGGACTATCTCCCAGTCCTTAAGAAAGAGAATAGTTGCTTTTGAGCTGAAATGCTATAGAATATTCTCATAATATCTTGGACAAAGAAGAGGAGAAATACTGACATCTTGAAGGATCTGAACATCAAGGAAGATTGGCTAATAAACAGCATCCTGTCTTGAAGCTGAAATATTTTGGTCATATCAAGCGCCACGACAGAAGGCATGGTACCAGGAAGGAGGGACAAGGGCTGACTGACACCAAGATGGGCACAGGATATAAGTGACACTTTGAGTATGAAGGAACATGAGGCGGGAGAGCTGGCGAGAAACCGAGTTTCTTTTAGGCAGACCGTGAAGAGAGCGACGTTTCGCAAAGGACCTGCTACATGATGATGATGACGGTAACCTCATTATAACCCTACAGTTTTAATGGGGTTTCTGTGTAAAGTAAAAAGGAAAAATCCCTTTTCACTCCTTAGGCGCGTCGGGCATATGGGAAGAGCACCCATATTTTTACAGACAGATCAGCACTAGAGGGTAATGTGGTCAGCTTATTTACCGTAATCTGGTAACTATTGAATGAGCACAGTTTGTCTTGTATAACACGACGGTATTGTATAATACGACGGTATTGTATAACATGACGGTATTGTATAACACGACGGTATTGTATAACATGACGGTATTGTATAACATGACGGTATTGTATAACACGACGGTATTGTATAACACGACGGTATTGTATAACATGACGGTATTGTATAACACGACGGTATTGTATAACACGACGGTATTGTATAACACGACGGTATTGTATAACACGACGGTATTGTATAACACGACGGTATTGTATAACACGACGGTATTGTATAACACGACGGTATTGTATAACATGACGGTATTGTATAACATGACGGTATTGTATAACACGACGGTATTGTATAACATGACGGTATTGTATAACACGACGGTATTGTATAACACGACGGTATTGTATAACACGACGGTATTGTATAACATGACGGTATTGTATAACACGACGGTATTGTATAACACGACGGTATTGTATAACATGACGGTATTGTATAATACGACGGTATTGTATAACATGACGGTATTGTATAACACGACGGTATTGTATAACATGACGGTATTGTATAACATGACGGTATTGTATAACATGACGGTATTGTATAACATGACGGTATTGTATAACATGACGGTATTGTATAACACGACGGTATTGTATAACATGACGGTATTGTATAACATGACGGTATTGTATAACATGACGGTATTGTATAACATGACGGTATTGTATAACATGACGGTATTGTATAACATGACGGTATTGTATAACATGACGGTATTGTATAATATGACGGTATTGTATAACATGACGGTATTGTATAACATGACGGTATTGTATAACATGACGGTATTGTATAACATGACGGTATTGTATAACATGACGGTATTGTATAACATGACGGTATTGTATAACATGACGGTATTGTATAATACGACGGTATTGTATAACATGACGGTATTGTATAACACGACGGTATTGTATAACATGACGGTATTGTATAACATGACGGTATTGTATAACATGACGGTATTGTATAACACGACGGTATTGTATAACATGACGGTATTGTATAACATGACGGTATTGTATAACATGACGGTATTGTATAACATGACGGTATTGTATAATACGACGGTATTGTATAACATGACGGTATTGTATAATACGACGTATGAAACCATTATTTAGTTCCGTCCTTTACGAAGGCGTTGCAGAACCAATCCTCAACATGCTTTGGCTTTTTCGTGTTCACATATTTGCCATATGTTCTAACGATTGGCTCTCCATTCGTCTGTTGAAACCGACACAAGGCGGTCTGCTGCTAAATCGCCTGCAGCTGGAATCGAACCCTGCACCGCGGCTTTACGAAGCTTGTTTGCAACGCCCAATAAGCCGTGGACGCTGACAGACATTCTTGATTACATCGTTCTCTCTTGCCTCCCACAGATTTCCTGGCAACAACAAATTGACTGAGCGCTGTATTCACCTCGGAGGGAGAGTCGCTGCCCAGCTGACGGCGGGTTGAAGTGACCAAGCTGATGAAAACCGGACCAACGAGAGGCGGAAGCTGAGACATGAGCGGTGGCTTGCCTCGCTGGCGATCTCTGTCACATTTTAAATAAAACCAGGCGGCAGTCGTCTGTTCATTCATTATCGCATTCGTCCAGTTTGTCTGTCTTCTTTGGATTACACTGAACCTGGAGTTACCCAGTTTACTGAGCTGATTCGTTACAGAGTTACGTTGTTATTGAGTGACAGTGTCGGAAGTAGTTTAAATACTTTTGTTACAACTGTCAGTAGATAGATAGCTTGTGTGTTTTCACATAGGAAAGAATCATAGACGTGTACACGCTTTTGCTAACACTGGAACATTGTGTACTTCAAAACTTCGACCAGTTACTTTAAATGATCATGTTTTTCAGATAGAAACGCTATATAAGATAGAAATGTGATCTCTGAAAACGCATCTTTTTTATCTGGTACACTATGGATCCGTTTTTTGGGAAATGACTTAAGGCAACAAATCAAAAGAATAATAAAAGGAACAAGACAGTTGTGTGTTTCATGGGGCCAGTACCATTACTCAGTTATATGTGTAGTACAAAGTGGACTCCAAATGTCGTGTTAACTACACTCAGTGTCTCGTAGGGGGGTGTCTTAAAGAGATCACATTTACCGTTCCCATCCGCTGCTTGCAGAGAGTGTAATAAGCAGGCCCTCAGCTGTTGTGTTTCTTGGGAAGATGCTGTGCTGGCAGACTATACGTGTAGGTTTGATACACACGCTGCCGTTGGTGCTGGTAGTCGTGGGAGAACCTTTCTATCAGCGTAGAGATCATCTGGATCAAGAGGAATATCTCAAGATAACTAACGAGAACCTTGTGAAGGATAGGACAGACGCTGAGGTTAGTTTTTGTGTGTGTGCTTTTCGGCAGAGTTACCTGACCTTCTTTTGTTTTGACACTGATGTTGCTTAGTGACGTTAGTTTACGTATTTGTCCTGTGCTTCTCCAACGGTTTGATTGACAATGTTGTCCAACCTAGTCAGATTTTCCTGCCCCATCTTGCTACGGGCCTAGCAAGCAAGCAGTGTTATAATTAATCGCAAAAGGATGAATAAATAAATGCAGCGGAAAATACATAAATTTGTCAAGAGTGGGGTAGAAGATAAACGGAAGGAAGTACAGTGGTACCCCGGTATACGTCATTGGACGTATAGCAAACAGCATGTATACCGAACAAATTCTTCCTTTAAGAGGTAAGGGAAGATTGGTTAATCCATTCCAATAAAAAAAAAAATTCTTCTGTTACGGGTATATTATACATTGATGGTGTTGTGTAAGATAATGTATGTACTACCACACTGCCTAGTAATTAAACACATAAACATATTAGCAATTAGAGGAAGTAAATGAATATATAACATTACTTTAGCTTCTTGAAAAAATTCTGATGTTTACTGGAATGATGGAGGAGTAGATTTATTGTTTTTAATGAGAGCGCCCCTCCAATAAAAACTTCAGGAATCTGCATTGTGTGTGTGTTTTTTCCCCCTTTGTTTTCACTACATGGCCCTGGTTCAGGAGCTCATCAGGTTTGAATTTTACTAAAATATGTCTAAAGAACTTTGCTTCTGCCTTCTTCTCGGGATGTTTTCGAAATGGGACACTGCCTGGTTATTCCAGACGATGCTATTTTTACGGCTTGATTGGGCTTTGTTGGGTTGACATTTATCTGCAAAGTCATTGACATCTGTCTGTGATTTTCTTTTGAGAGAGGTAAACAAAGGTGGCACGCAGTGCCGTTATTGATTGTGACTCACAGAAGTTCTAGCACGCAAGTCGTATTCCAAACAAGAGTTTTTCGCGTCTAGACAAAACTTATACGAGGCTGAATGTACCGGAACCAGCGACTACACATAGGGATGTGCGTATGGATGGAGGTAAGTAGCCTCGGCTATTTTGGTGTTCTCGTTCTTATTGATGCATTGATATGTCTGAGCTTCTGTCTCCCATACACTTTCCTCTGGAAAGACAGAAAGGTGCCAGTCTTACGACTACACCATATGCTGTTTTGAGGTAACAAGGTTGGTGCGGTAAGTAAAAGACAATATTTCGCCATAGGGGCATCGGGTACATGATGCTAGACTCGTATTTGTATGGACCAATCAACACTATGTGGGTCGTTTGTCAACATCATGACGGATGGTTTCAGTAACTCAAGACTTGGTACCCTATTTAGACTGAGTCAGTACGGAAGCTAGGTCAGTAGGTTGCTATGTGGATGTCTTATTGAGCTGTGGACAATCATCATCATCATCATCATAATCGTCATGAACATCATCATCATTATCATCATCAAGCAGCAGGTTCTTTAAAGAACGTCACTGTTGTTACAGGCACACCTAAAAGTTTCCCTCTCTTTCTGTTACAAGTTCTCAAGCTCTTTGTGTTTTCATAGCCAATGCATATTCAATATCCTGTATTCACACTGGCGAAGGTCCGCATCTGCCTCGTTTTCTGGAAACCTAACACCCTCCCCCACCCCCAGCCCCACCTCCCTATCGCCGTTCTCTCCAGGCCACCTTGACCTTTACCATGGCCAAAAAATACCAGCTCTCGGGACAGGCTTCTGTTAATGAGCCAATACTCGGGACAGGCTTCTGTTAATGAGCCAATTCTCGGGACAGGATTCTGTTAATGAGCCAATTCTCCTCCATGTTCAGATTATGTAAGACAGTGGCTCCCAACCTTTCTAATGCCGTGACAATACCCTTCCTTGTGCTGTGGCAACACCCAAACACATAATTCTTTACGTTACTACATTATGACTTCAACGAATATATGTTTCCGTTGATCATAGGCGACCCATGTGAAGGGGTCATTCGTTCTACATAAAAATGGACCGCGACCTGCAGGCCAAGAACCGCTGACTTAGCTTCTTCTTGGTCCATAGTATTCCAAGAAGTTTTCTTTAGCATTTCATTCCAAAGGCTCCGATTATTTTTTATCAGCAATTGAGTAAGCAACCGTGATTCACATCGATAAGTTGTCACGGGAAAGATTGACAATACTTCTTAATGTCAATGTCGTCTTGCGTTGGTAGCCATATCTTTCCACAAACTTCTGTCTCGTGTACTTTTAGTCAGCGTTGTCACAGATGATTCTCCATGCCATAATGTCAGACTGTCCAGCATCTGTTCTCTCGGTCTACCTCTGTCTTTCCTTCCCTCCAGTTTTAATACTGTCATGATGAATTCCAGTTTACTCCTCATCACATGAGCAGTTTAGTTTAGTTTAGTCGACGGAACAACGTCATGGCATGCGGGTGTAAAGCCATACGTGCTCCATTCTACCTCTAACTCAAGCCTGAGTCGGAAGAATCTTAGCACATGACCAAAAAATGTAGATTGCCTCTTTCTGATGTGGTCATTCAGTTCTCTTCCTGAGTCGGTTTTCTCCAAGGCGTCTTCAAAACTCTTTTTATCTGTCCAAGTTATCCTCATCATTCGTCTATAAAACGATTCCGCAGCTTCCAAATAAGTTTTCACCAATTTACTAACTGCTTTGACTCACATCCATGTATCAACATTACATTTATGTAGCTTTTAAGAATTCTCTTTGTCGTCTCAAGTTACAAAAAAGATTCCATAACATTTTTATTTTTTAAAATGCAGCCTTTGCTTAAGCTATTCGAAATTTAAATTCTTTAATACATCTTCCGTCTGATGTTATCAGGATACCCAAGTACTTAAACATATCAACTTGCTTAAGAGATTGACAATACTAGTGTTAAATTTACTGGTCGATAGTTAATATTGGCATGCCGGAAGAAATTAGCCAATTCAGTGTGCAGCGGAAAATAAAACACAGAACAAGGTCTTGTTTTAGAACAGAGTTTCTCAAAGCAGTATTTCTCAAAGTCGCTATAAAACTGAAATTCTTCAAAAGTAACTGACGAACGATCGCAAACACTTTCGTAGATTTGTATTTATATAAATTGTTTAATCTAGTCTAGTACCTATTGATTTTACGTCAGAATGAGGAGAAAGCAAAACTGTTGTCAGATCAAAATGGATTAAAGTGAGCAGAAAAGTTTAACGATTGAGAAGTTCTTCACTAGACAACAGACAAATGTGACATGGCCTACAAATGGCGTCGTTGACTCGCTAGAGGAACATTTTTGTATTTGGACTATCGACCGGCAAGCAAGACAGCCCGGTATTGTAAGCTCAAGCTTTGACAAATATTGGACGCGATTTTGATGGGGGCTGACTCGATGCCGTTAGTAAATATTAACAGACAAAATAGCTTGGGTTTGCTCAGTGTTAGCAGCAACTGTCTTGTTAACTGTGAACTTTTGAGCACGAGATAAGTAAACACAAAAGCCTCATCGTTATCTTCAAGGTGCAGCTGCCAAACCTTTAGATGTTTAGCTTTGCCACCATGTATCACTAAAGATGTGTCTTCGCCACCATGCATCACTAAAGATGTGTCTTCCCCGCCATCCATCACTAAAGATGGGTCCTTGCCACCATGCATCACTAAAGATGAATTTTCGCCAAGATGCATCACTAAAGATGTGTCCTCGCCACCAGCCATCACTAAAGATGTGTCTTCGCCATCAAGCATCACTCAAGACGTGTCTTCGCCACCATGCATCACTCAAGACGTGTCTTCCCCGCCATCCATCACTAAAGATGTGTTTTCGCCACCACATATCACTAAATATGTGTTTTCGCCACCATGTATCACTAAAGATGTGTCCTCGCCACCATGCATCACTAAAGATGTGTCCTCACCACCATGCATCACTAAAGATGTGTCCTCGCCACCATGCATTACTAAAGATGTGTCTTCGCCACCATGCATTACTAAAGATGTGTTTCTGCCACCATGCATTACTAAAGATGTGTCATCGCCACCATGCATTACTAAAGATGTGTCTTCGCCACCATGCATTACTAAAGATGTGTCTTCGCCACCATGCATTACTAAAGATGTGTTTCTGCCACCATGCATTACTAAAGATGTGTCATCGCCACCATGCATTACTAAAGATGTGTTTTTGCCACCATGCATCACTCAAGATGTGTCTTCACCACCATGCATCACTCAAGATGTGTCTTCACCACCATGCATCACTCAAGACGTGAATTCGCCACCATGCATCACTAAAGACGTGAATTCGCCACCATGCATCACTAAAGACGTGTATTCGCCACCATGATTCACTCAAGATGTGTCTTCACCACCATGATTCACTCAAGATGTCTCTTTGCCACCATGCACCACTAAAGACGTGTCTTTACCACCATGCATCACCCAAGACGTGTCTTCACCATCATGCATCACTAAAGACGTGTATTCGCCACCATGCATCACTCAAGCTGTGTCTTCGCCACCACGCATCACTCAAAATGTGTCTTCACCACCATGCATCACTCAAGATGTGTCTTCACCACCATGCATCACTCAAGATGTGTCTTCACCACCATGCATCACTCAAGATGTGTCTTCACCACCATGCATCACTCAAGCTGTGTCTTCACCACCACGCATCACTCAAAATGTGTCTTCACCACCATGCATCACTCAAGATGTGTCTTCACCACCATGCATCACTTAAGATGTGTCTTCACCACCATGCATCACTCAAGATGTGTCTTCACCACCATGCATCACTTAAGATGTGTCTTCACCACCATGCATCACTTAAGATGTGTCTTCACCACCATGCATCACTTAAGATGTGTCTTCACCACCATGCATCACTCAAGATGTGTCTTCACCACCATGCATCACTTAAGATGTGTCTTCACCACCATGCATCACTTAAGATGTGTCTTCACCACCATGCATCACCAAGATGTGTCTTCACCACCATGCATCACATAAGATGTGTCTTCACCACATGCATCACTTAAGATGTGTCTTCACCACCATGCATCACTTAAGATGTGTCTTCACCACCATGCATCACTTAAAGATGTGTCTTCACCACCATGCATCACTTAAGATGTGTCTTCACCACCATGCACCAATATGTGTCTTCACCACCAAGATGTGTCTTCACCACCATGCATCACTTAAGATGTGTCTTCACCACCATGCATCACCCAAGATGTGTCTTCACCACCATGCATCACTTAAGCTGTGTCTTCACCACCATGCATCACTTAAGATGTGTCTTCACCACCATGCATCACTTAAGATGTGTCTTCACCACCATGCATCACTTAAGATGTGTCTTCACCACCATGCATCACTTAAGCTGTGTCTTCACCACCATGCATCACTTAAGATGTGTCTTCACCACCATGCATCACTTAAGCTGTGTCTTCACCACCATGCATCACTTAAGATGTGTCTTCACCACCATGCATCACTTAAGCTGTGTCTTCACCACCATGCATCACCCAATATGTGTCTTCACCACCATGCATCACTTAAGCTGTGTCTTCACCACCATGCATCACTTAAGATGTGTCTTCACCACCATGCATCACTTAAGCTGTGTCTTCACCACCATGCATCACTTAAGCTGTGTCTTCACCACCATGCATCACTTAAGATGTGTCTTCACCACCATGCATCACCCAATATGTGTCTTCACCACCATGCATCACTCAAGATGTGTCTTCACCACCATGCATCACCCAAGATGTGTCTTCACCACCATGCATCACTTAAGATGTGTCTTCACCACCATGCATCACCCAATATGTGTCTTCACCACCATGCATCACTTAAGATGTGTCTTCACCACCATGCATCACCCAATATGTGTCTTCACCACCATGCATCACTTAAGATGTGTCTTCACCACCATGCATCACCCAATATGTGTCTTCACCACCATGCATCACCCAAGATGTGTCTTCACCACCATGCATCACTTAAGCTGTGTCTTCACCACCATGCATCACTTAAGCTGTGTCTTCACCACCATGCATCACTTAAGATGTGTCTTCACCACCATGCATCACTTAAGATGTGTCTTCACCACCATGCATCACTTAAGATGTGTCTTCACCACCATGCATCACTTAAGATGTGTCTTCACCACCATGCATCACTTAAGATGTGTCTTCACCACCATGCATCACTCAAAATGTGTCTTCACCACCATGCATCACTTAAGATGTGTCTTCACCACCATGCATCACTTAAGATGTGTCTTCACCACCATGCATCACTTAAGATGTGTCTTCACCACCATGCATCACTTAAGATGTGTCTTCACCACCATGCATCACTTAAGATGTGTCTTCACCACCATGCATCACTTAAGATGTGTCTTCACCACCATGCATCACTTAAGATGTGTCTTCACCACCATGCATCACTTAAGATGTGTCTTCACCACCATGCATCACTTAAGCTGTGTCTTCACCACCATGCATCACTTAAGATGTGTCTTCACCACCATGCATCACTTAAGATGTGTCTTCACCACCATGCATCACTTAAGATGTGTCTTCACCACCATGCATCACTTAAGCTGTGTCTTCACCACCATGCATCACTTAAGATGTGTCTTCACCACCATGCATCACTTAAGCTGTCTTCACCACCATGCATCACTTAAGATGTGTCTTCACCACCATGCATCACTTAAGATGTGTCTTCACCACCATGCATCACTTAAGCTGTGTCTTCACCACCATGCATCACTTAAGATGTGTCTTCACCACCATGCATCACTTAAGATGTGTCTTCACCACCATGCATCACTTAAGATGTGTCTTCACCACCATGCATCACTTAAGATGTGTCTTCACCACCATGCATCACTTAAGATGTGTCTTCTCCACCATGCATCACCCAATATGTGTCTTCACCACCATGCATCACTTAAGATGTGTCTTCACCACCACGCATCACTCAAGACGTGTCTTCACCACCATGCATCACTCAAGATGTGTCTTCACCACCATGCATCACTAAAGACGTGTATTCGCCACCATGCATCACTCAAGATGTGTCTTCACCACCATGCATCACTCAAGACGTGTCTTCCCCACCATGCATCACTCAAGATGTGTCTTCACCACCATGCATCACTCAAGACGTGTCTTCCCCACCATGCATCACTAAAGATGTGTCTTCGCCACCATGATTCACTCAAGATGTGTCTTCGCCACCATGCATCACTCAAGATGTGTCTTCGCCACCATGCATCACTCAAGACCTGTCTTCCCACCATGCATCCCAGAATATGTATCTTTTACTGTCACGGCATTTCAGTCGCTGTCAGGTATGGATTGCAAAGGCAGTTTCATGACTGCGAGATACCGGTATTCAAAATCAGTTTCATCGCGTAGATTCTAAGGTACCTAGTTAGAGATTTCCTGAATTCGCCTGTGTTGGTGCGTAAGGTGTAGAAAACGCTGCCTAGCTGTAAACCCCAACACGCTATGAAGACATCATTTGAGGCGCGAACACAGAATAAAAAGAACAAGAAGAAGAAGAAAAGGACACGTTTTTTATTATTGTACGGGGTTGGTTCTACAACGTCCTGTAAAGGATACGCAACTAACCTATGAGTTAGCAACGAAAATAATTGTATGGTTCGGGTTGGCCACAATATGAGGAATTGTATTAAAGGGTCGCCGCATTAAGATGGTTTGGAGCTACTGTTGTAAAGGATACACAAGTAACTGTTTGCTTTGGTCTAGACATATTAACGCTTGAAGACATGGCAGAGACATCACCTGAACTATCTACATAAAACCAGGTTAGTCATGCCGCTGTAAAAAAAACCCGGCTATTTAAACCCTTAACCAAGGGGCCGTGTATGTCGTATTTCAAAAAGAAAAATTAGTCTTCGTTAGAACCTGCGGGTAAAGAAGTCGGGCTACATTGAAACAAGTCTGTTTGTCGCAACTTAAAGACGCCACTGCATAAAAGCCTAGCTGATTGAGACCACCTTGAAACGTCAAGACAGACTGGAGCACGAACTCCATAGAAGTGCATTGTTGCAGAAAAAAAAAGTAAATCATTGTCCCCAGTGTTAACTGCTGTTTTTAATATTATGTTAAAAGAAAGAAATAAGCGCTGAAGGAGTTATTTCCTGACCTAACTCGGGAAGCTGGCACAGACCAATGAAATCTTTCAGTTTTGTCCCCATTCACACGTGACTTCAATAGAAAATGAAAAAGTTTGATAAAAGAAACTACGGCAATGTTTTACGCTGCAGCGAGCTTCAAAGCCGTAGTTGGAGAACTTGTAATAAAGTTGTGGGGTTCTTTCATACAAGCGGACGAAATAGCAGAAGTGGCGCTAGAGGCGTTAAGACATTTGAGGCCACCTACGTTTTATGTCATTTATAAAGAGTTTGATCGGAACGTTCGCCTGTATTTGCGTGAGTCGTTCCCTATCTCACATATCGAATTTTCACGGGTGATGGTAAAATATACAGAGAAAACAAAAGTGTTTAAGACCAGAAATAACGTCTTTACTTCGGATTTCCGGGCGACCGGCATGATGTTCCTGCTTTCCCTTGATTGTTCTGTTGCGTCTTCGTTTCGCCCCTACCTTTTTAGACGTGTTGTGGTGTGACCAGTGTTGCCACTTTTCTTTGACAAAAAAATATCCAAAACGGTGTCAGAAAATATCTAAAAAGATCTATCTCTGCGTGGAAAAGATCTAGAAAAAACATCCAAATTGAAAAAGTCAAAAATTACATAGCTTTTGTTATGACTTACCCTACATAATCATGTCCTCACGTCTGCCTCACAAGATCCACAGGATAAACTTAGCTTGGATAATGAAGTTGAAGCTTCAGATCCAACATGACCCTGGTATGCTTTAGCTGTTCAAATTTCTTTATAAGTGGAACAGTAGGCTTATTTCTCTAGTCTCATCAGGCCGAATTTTAATGGCACGATAGCATTTAAGAGGTCAAATTTCATCCTGTTTTTTAGGTTAGATTTGATATAATTCCTAGCACTAAAAACTCTTTCTACGTCAGCATTTGAGTGGGGTAGTATCATGGCAGACATGGCACTTTAAAGAGCTTACAGAATGGACTGTTTGATGAGGCCTCTTTAAATTGTCTCACTTCACTCCAAAACGCTTTAGTTTCTGTTTTGTTTGTCCATTCAGCAAGCTTTATTTTGGTTAACTGATATTCTGCTTCCGCGACACTATTATCAGTAGCCCCTAAAAATGTCATAACTTTACAATATTTAGGTATGTCCTTTATTGGCTGAAGTATGTTGCTCACAGAAAAAAGTGAAATATTTTTCGAAACATCTAGATTTTCAGGAAGTCTCTGCTTCAATTGCTTCAATAATGAGATAAGGAAATCTTGACAGCGTTTTCTTAAGTTGTTCTCTATATTCTCTGATAACAGTCCTTTTGTTTGTAAATCATCAATTTTTGATTCGATTTAATATCCAAGGTGTGGCTTAGGAGCCAAATAGCTCTCTATAGTGCAAATGAGCAAATCAGCTTTAGAAGTTGGCAACACCAGTCTTTTACCGAGTGAAATAGCAAGGTGAGATCATCAAGTAATTTAACTTTATCAACAAGTTTAGATTCGAACAGTTTATTAACTTTTTGCACTTCCATTAGAATAGGTTATAAAAAGAGAATGAATGACACATTTTTTTTTTCATCACT